TTATTTTTTTTTTAATTTTTTTTTTTGCCCTCGCCTGCCACCTGAGTACGCGTACGTGTCGTGCCAAAGCGTCGTCGTTCCCCGTAGACCTCCAAGTACGCGCGGAGAGTTAAAGGATTCGTGCCGCCGACAGATTCTCCCAGGGCGAACGAATTTCACGTTCGCCCGCACTCGAACGCGGTGAGAGAGGAAACGGAACGAGCACGCGATTCTCCCTGAGAAGAATGAAACGCGCGGCCCGGCCCCTGGGTCGAACGAAAGGTGGGAACGCGGTTTTTCAGCGTGGTCACGCGTTTCAAACGTCGCTCGTCGACGGGCAGCGCGGTACGCAGTTTCCGGCGGACACGAGGTGCGTGACACCGGCAAAAATTCTCGCGGCAAACGCAGAAACACGCGGCGGACGAGAGACGTGAGTCTACTCCAGACGCGGCATCGCACGTCGCGCGCGCTCCCGCGTTCAGCCAATTCTCCAACGATCCGCGACGTTCTCGCGATCGAATCAGGTCTCCGTTTACTCTTCGGGGATCTGGTATCGTTTTCTGGAAACGGTCGCGTTCGTCCTGTAGGGTGTAGGGTCTGGTTTCCTCTTCCGCCGCGAGTTTCCCTTCTATGTCCGACACGCGGAACGGAAAGAGACGACGACGACGCGAGAGCGCAAGAAGCGGATCGAAACGGAGAGAGACAGAGAGAGTGGTACGGGTCGTCTGCACGCACGTTTACACGGAAGCCAATATTTGCGCGGTGGAGTCGGCATCGGTTTCCTTTGGTCGGACGGACCTCTCGATTCGGCGTCGTGTTTATCGTGCAAACGAACGACGTTCCCGGGCGCCGAGTCCCGGAAGCTCGGTAACGACGGCTCGTAGGTATCGGACGGTGAACGACCAACTACTCGATCCGGATAAATAAAGCGAAGATAGCCGAGAAAGATACGTCCGCGGTTTGCCGATCGATCGGAAACCAATTTCTCGGTCGATCGCCGTTCCTCTCCTTTTCTCGTGACGCTCTACGCGACATCGATGATACCGTTCCAACGGCGAGGCGTTGCCCTCGGTCTAAAACCGATTCGAGTCACGAGAACTTCCGGAAAGTTTGCGGCAACTCAAACGTTTTCCAGGCAATTCGATTGGATGACGATCTCGTTCGGCCGTCGTCGAGACGCTTTTTCGCGACAGAAACTTCTCTACGTCTGAGGAACGACCGCCGTCGAAATTTCGAGATCGAACGACGGTCGTGAAACGATCTGTTTCCCCGATAGAAATTATCGCCGCGGAGAGGGCCGACGAAATGGTTAGGGCGTCAGGCAAGAAGACCGCGGGCCGACTCTTTTCCTCCGGGAGGTTGAATCGAACGAGTCATTTGTCATGTCCCGATAAAGATCGCGAAGGGGCGCGCGTTCGTCATCGAAACGAACCCTCCTCTCCCGTCGCCCGTCGCTGCTACGTGATCGCGCGCCTGGCGACTGCTTTCAAAGACGATAGAATTGCGCGGTGAAACAGAAATACGGAAGAGGTAGCCTGGCCCGGTTCGGTTCCGTCGGTCACCAGGTTCCGCGCGCGCGCGCCAGAGGACGGAGGGACGCGAGGAAGGAAGGAAATCCCATGGAACGGCCGTGGAACGATAAGTTCTGCGGATGCAACGTATCCGGTAATTTGGCATTGTCGGTGACGGGCGCACGGTGCGTCGTCAATGGGTGCACGCAGGTAGAACGACGCATAACGCCCTCGTTCCGTCCTCGTCTTCGATAATTTCCGATCGTCCTTCGTCGCGTATCGCGTACGCTTCCATTTTTCTCCGAATCTTGCCGCGCGCACGCATCCGTCTATTGTTCCGAGAGGCGCGGCGCGATCTCTCCAACGATCACCGTCTCGCGTTCTACCTGTACGCGACCAAGACCGAAACCGTGAAACGGACAGTATGCAAATTTATACGGCAGATTTTACGATCGTCGAACGCGAATATATGTATATGGAAGACGAGTCGGTCGAAGCCCGGCGGTCCATCGACGCGTCGCCGCGCTTCCCCTTTTTTTTTTTACCTTTTCCGTTTTCGTTCCAGCCCGTTCGTTCAAAGTTCTATGGGAGAGGCGAGAAAGGGACGAGGGGAGATAGACGGTATCGAATCACGGCAGTCGTAAATTTTCCGAGCCGCGTTCGATCGAACCTCGGCCGTAATGTGTACATTTATGCGGTCGCTTTCATTCGCGAACCGGTAGATGCGTGACCTCAACGCCGAATCGGTTCGCGCGCAGTTCACGCGAGATGAGGAGAATTTTACGCGTTTCTAGCAACGTTTCGTTCGTCAGTTTCGAACTCTTGCAAATTCGATTCGCCCTCGAGGAGACGCGTAGGGCGCGCAGCGTCGGGAGCTGCGGTCCTTCGTCACGATCGTCGATACTCCCTTTCGCGCTGGCACTCGTAGCACAGGGGCGCGTGAATCGAACGCGAGGATCGAACAGGACCCGGAGGAAGAGACCCTTGGTGGTCGTTTCGACTTACGACTCGTGCCATCACCGTGGAACGTATGCCGCGCCGTACGCGTCGGCTTGTACGTTCGACGAGCGTGAGGAACAGGAATTGGCGCGCCTCGACCCCGGTGAATCGACACCGTTTGCCCTTTGCGCGACGACGACGAACGCGCGGGTTCTCAGATGCGTGGTGGTTAGTCGACTGGCATATGCCCGGCTTCGCTCACGGATACGGTGTACGATTTCCGTAAAACGACACCGAGAACCGGGACTCGGAGCGAAATTAAGCGACTGGCCAGACACCGCGCGACGCACCCGCGATATGCCCTTTTCTCCGTCCGTTTCGTTTCGTTTCGTTTCGTTTCGTTTCGTTTCGTTTCGTCTCGTTGGACCCTGTCGCGTAGGGTGGGAAGGGCTTCTTTCAGGGAGCCGATCTCGGAGATATCCAATTGTCCCCGCGCGGATTTCTCGATTCCGCGTCCGTCGAAGCCTCCCGTGGATTAGCTAGGGAAACCGCGTCCGTATCGGGTGACGAGACCCCGACAGGTTTAACGCGACGCGGCGCGAATCAAAACCGATACAACAGAAACGAGAGACGATCGTCCTACGACTCGCGTACCGCGCGTACTTGCCCGTGTTTCCGGATTAATTACCAGCGATCAGCGAGAGGTTCCTTTATTACCTATTCCTCCTGATTAACCGACCAACGAGCCAATCGCACGCTAAGGCTGGCAGCGTCACGCGCTCGTTTCCTTCTCGATTTAACTTTCGCCGCGACTCCCGCGCGCGAACGCGAGTCCGGAAGTACGCGTATCCTGGAGTACGCGAAACGGCGCCAGGGAACGAGATATCAGTCGCTTCGATAATGATCGTCGCGAGAGCGTTCGTCGAACCGAGTTAACTTTAATTCGATTCCGACTTGTCACCGTTTACCGTGCAAATCGAAATTGGAACCGTGAATGGTGGTGGCCGGTAGGGGAGGGTAGGCAGGCAGGCGAGGGTGCCTCCCCGTAAAGAGGAACAACGTCGTCGACCTAATTAACGGAAACGCAAACTCGGTTGGGCGTGCACGTACCTGTGTGTTCGTACACACACCGATTCTCTCCCTCTGTTTGAAACGTAAAGTACTCGGCGCGATCTAACCCCCGGATACGATAAGAGCGAGTCGTGTGCGCGCTTATTCATCCCCGTTGCTTGCCACCGCTGACGACACGCGGTACGCGACGCTCGTTCCGTGCTCCGGTCGGTAGACAGAAATCGGTGGAGGAACGATAGAGGCGCGGGTGCGTCGCGTCGTGACGCGACGACGGGTGTCCGGGACGCGTGCTCGCTACGACTGACTCACCGCGTTCCAAACGGACCCCCCGTCGTTCGACGTGCACGAGTCGTCGTATCACCGGTAGCGTAACTCGAATGAATCATGTTCGGCCCACACCCCTCTCCGCGGGAAGTAGAGAAAAGCGCTGGCACGATCCCTCGAGAATCTCACTGGCACCGTCGAATCGTTTCGGTACGAGTGTGCTCCGGTAGCGTGTATACGGTGTTCCTCCGATACGTCGTCGATCGGGCATCGTTTCGCGCGATTCGTGTCCACGGTACCCTTTTTACGGTCTCGCGCGGCACCGGACTTTATCATCTATTTCTTTTCTCGCGCCCGGTGTCCCGTCTTTTCACCCCGTCGCTCGTTATCGAACCTTCTCATCTCTATCCATCACCATCGTATCCATCTTTCACCAGTCACGCGGCGACCGACCATTTACATCGCCATTCAGGGTTCGGCCTGCCCTTCTTTCTCATAGTTTCCTCTTCTTCTGTCTCCTTTAATGACCACTCGCTCGCTATCTCTCCCTCGGACGAGCCGACGTGATTCTTTTCTCCTCGCTTCCTCTCTTCGTCTTGTCCGACGGTACTCCTTCGACCCTGGACACCGCGATTCTTCGTCGATCGCGACCTCCTCGGCGTCGTCGACGGAAACATATTTGTTCCGTTCGCACGAGAAACGTCCCCGGCGACTTTCAGCACGCGTCACTGTCCAGAGTTTAAGGAATTCCGTCGTCTCTGCCGGTTCTCGACCTCGACCTACGGCCGTTCGCGTTCGCATCGATTTCTCGTTCGTCTCGTTCGTCTCGTTCGTCTCGTCGTTCGACGCCCCCCGTTGAGCCGAACTTGCCTCGCGGCCGAGAGTGAAGAGACACCCCGTTCGTCGAATTCGGCGAGGCATACGTAAGAGTCGTCAAACCGGAGACAAAGCCGCGATTCTCCGGAGCAGGTATCGCGGCCGAACCGTTTCTCCCTCGTGTTCGTAGAGCGCCACTACACTCCCTGCCACTGTATGTATAGAAGGCGGAAGACGGCCCGATCGTCGATCGTTCCTCCCTTCGAGCGACTCGGACGTGATCGATCGCGCCGCTGATACGGGTCTTGGCGAGAAGCCGTGGCTCTCGCGGGAGAGAGTATCTCTGCGGTGGACTTGCGACCGACTCGGGCAAAAGTACCACGTTGAGAACCGACGACGATCGCCTCGTTTCCATTTCAGACGCGGTCTCGCTCCGGATGCTGGAGCTGGTGGTTCCCCAGCACGTGGTCCGGGGTCAGAACATCAGGTTGGAGTGCAACTTTGACCTGGACGGTGAGGCGTTGTACTCGGTGAAATGGTACAAAGACGGGAACGAGTTCTATCGATACGTGCCGCAGGACAGGCCGCCCGTGCTCGTCTTTCAGCTGCCGGGTGTCACGGCGAACGTAAGGAATCACTTTGTATTGATTTTTTCTTCCCTCCCCGTTCCCAGAGCTCGCCCCCTCCCGTGCCTCGCGCCGCAGCCATGCCGCTTTCTATTTAAAGCGCCGACGTATTTTTTCTCTTTTTTCTCTTTTTTCTCTTTTTTCGTTTCTTCGTTTTTATCACGCTCCATTATCCGGTTTCTCCCGTAGACCCGTCCGTTTCCTGTCCGGTGCGCAATCTACTTTAGCCGCAATTACCGACGATGCGCGCGTCCCGTTCGCCGATAAACGAAAACATATGGTTTTAATCGCGCACCTACACCTTTTCTCTCGTGTCCAGATTCACAATTCTACCGAGAGGTCGGTCGTACTCTATTCCGTCAACCTGATGAGCACCGGAAGATACAGATGCGAGGTGTCAGCCGAGGCGCCGTCCTTCCAAACGGTCTCCGATCACTCGGACATGCTGGTAGTGGGTAAGACGTTTTTACGGCTCCCCGAACAGGAAGCATTTTTTCTGCCTAACGCAAATATCGCTGCTCGAAAATAGAGACGTTTTAGCTCGCGTCGTCGTTAAGCCGTTGTTCGGCTCGCGACGTGTCGCGGCGAAACCGCGTATTTCTTTCTATTCTATCTATTCTATCTATTCTTTCTGAGACCGAGGAAAATGTCGACTTACAGCTCTACCGGAAGACGGGCCCGTTATCACCGGCAGACCGGGGAGGCCTCGTTATCAGGTCGGTGACGTGGTGCGGTTCAATTGCACTTCGGCCAAGTCGAAGCCAGCTGCCATGCTCAGCTGGTTCATCAACGGGGAGCCCGTAAGTGTACGCGAGAACGCTCGGACCTTCATAATATTTTCGTGGGAAAACCGGCCACATTCTTCTGACTCTTCCCACTTGGATCACCCTCCTTCCTTTCTTCCACCAGTTCTACTCCCGTCTCACCGTCCACTTTGCTCCGCGCGTATATATTGATTTTCGAAACGGGCATAGCGTGCCGTCGCATCAAGGAACGGTATTCCGTTAATTGGACGAGCGAGGCGGATCGTTTAAACCAGCTAATTGAAGTGTTATAAATGGTAACCGTCCGCCATCATCGTAGATTGACCCTATGGGTGTTGAACGGCCAGCCAGCGAATCTCGTCGTTCGGCTCCCAATGAGTATCGTTAGTGACCGTCGATCGATCGATCATCCAACCGTAATTTTATCTCGCGCATCGCGCCGCAGTTTCCGAAAGTTCACCGAGAAAGTCACCACCCTCCCGTGCCGCGTTCTCGTGGCGCACGCAAACCTCGCGGATCTGGCGCTCTTCGTAGAAGAGGCGAGTGTCGCCGATCGGGTAAACCGTAAACGGAAGTCGTAATTTAAACCCATCCGCGGCCGCTCGTCCAGGCGGAATTGCAAATTGACCCTGTGCTCGCCGACGACTCCTCGGCGAGGCACGACGAGGCGAGGGACGTAGAGCCCCTCTGTTCTTTTTTCTTTTCGGATCGTTTCAGGTCGACACGCAATACTTGAGGGGGCCTCACATCGTAGAAGTGGATCGCGAGGGTCTGGAGACGGCGGTGCTGGGTCTGGAGTTTCGTCTGCGTACGAAGCACTTCAAGAGGGGTGACTTGAAGATCAAATGCCTGGCGACGATAGCGACCGTATATTGGAAATCGAACGAGCTCAGCATAGAGGGTGAAAGGCCCCTCAAGATGCCGGTCATGGAGAGCAGGGAGACAAGGGCGCAAGGCCACACGCACGCGGAACATATCTTAGGTGGTACGCGAAAAAGTAACGACGTCCGTCGCGCTCGTAATCGGTCGAGTCACTTCTCGGGACGTCGCGTCGCTGCCTCCGCCTGAGTGACCAACACGAGCGTACGTTTCGTCGTGAAACGTTCGTTCCACGAGATCGTTGCCAAGAAAAAAAGGTCAGGCTGCCCGGACCGTTCGGAATCAGCGAAATACCCCCGTTAGAAAGACACCGTGGCAACGAGTCGGAGGCACGTTCATTTGTCGACGATTCGCTGACTCACGATTGTCCGGTTTGTACGTCGGTGAATCCAATTTCGTCGTCGATACCGATCGAATCAGAGAGCAGCGACGCGACCTACCGATTCTTCACTCGAATCTGCTCTCCGTCGTCGCACCACGCGCGACACCGAAACTTCCCCGATACGAACCGCGTAGGCCGATGTTTTATTCTCACCTTCCTCTTCGATCGAACGATTCGATTTTTCTATTGCAGGAAGCGGAAGCATCGCGCTGGTACCCTGCTGCGCCTTGCTGGTAACGACGAGTCTGTTGATTCTGCGATAAGGAGACCAAGTGGGACCGCCGACGCCGCCGCCGCCGCCGCTTTTCGAGCTCATCCTTTTTCCGGCCTCTGCATCGTGCGGCGCGCAACGCGCGGGAGCACCCCGTGCACTCAATTATCCGTGTTGTTTCTATTTTTTATAATCGCAGTCATCGGAATCGGTCGGACGACCGGTACCGTATTCTTAACGACCGACGTTCGTCGGCACGTTAGAACGTTAGGGGATGAACGTGTAAATTCGTACTTAGGGAAGCAATTCCTAAATCTTTACGTACCTTCGACCGACCTTTGTACACTTTATACTTTCAACGTTCCCTCCCACCCGTGTTCGCGTCGTCGAGTATGTTACATAGCACGTGTGCGTGTTCCAAGAAATTTCCAATTGTCGTTTCTTCATTGTCGTTTTCTAAAGAAGGTGCGCAACGATTTACAAGACCGTGTGAAAGGTAATTCGAAAGATTTTTATCCCGAATTTGAGTGAGTAGCTTCCATCGGAAGTGTCCGTCATCTTCGGACTCTCCACTAATTTTCACCTTTCGTACTTTTCCTTTCCCCCTTGTCCTCGTCCGTTTTACCGCTAGGAAAGGGCTCTCCTTTCGATTCCCAGCGAGAGGACGGCCGAATAACATTTATATTCTAATCGAATCCGCGTTGCGTGCGTGTTCTGCATGTGTCTGCGTGCGTGTGTGTGTGTGTGTGTGTGTGTGTTTCTATCGTTCGGTCAAAGAGAACCGAGAACAATGAACGTTTCTCTTTCGTCGTAGCTTTTATCGATCTAGTCGCTATTAATCAATCGCAGAGGTACATAATAATACGTTATCCTAGAAATTACGAGTCCGCGTTCGCGCGCGGCGGGTGTGTTTTACCAAAGAACGTTTCGAAGCGTCTCGCACGCGTTAACATAGACGGACAAGCAACATTCCTGTCGTCGGATCGTATTACGAGCGTAAGAGCGAACAACGGGCGCCGCGTAGTCCTAAGGTATTTTCCAAGGAAGATCATTCTGTATATATGTACATAAATTTATTGAATCTGAGTTCTATCGTAATTTAATCGTTAGTCCTCGGGACGAGGCGAGCGACTTCAATTATAAATTACCATGAAATACCTGAGTTTTGAGTATAAACAGATTGTAAAAATTAATGATACCAAGTAAAGAGACGGAACGTACGGATGTCAAAGGGCATACGTACGATCGTTGTATTGGCTATACGTATAGTCAATACCAAAAGTTTGTGTACCTTAGAAAAACGCATTTCCGGTAATTAAAAATAGTGCACTTTTCTTCAAATTTCGATACTTAATGAGTTACATATGATTATTTGGCATTTTATTGATGTTGACAGAATTCGACCATTCCAGCGTCGAAACAGCCAACTTTTGGAAAAAAATTTCGTTTTTCCTCAATAACTCCTAAACCCTTGAAGATACGGAAAAATTGCATAGGACCTTTCTTGTAGAGGACGACGAGACCTACAATTTCTGTATAACAACTTTTTGCTAGCGTCAATAGTTTACGAGTTATTGACGAAAAACGAAAAAACAGTTTTTTGCAAATTACTCGTAAACTATTGATGCTAGCGAAATGTTTTTATACAGAAATTGTAGATCTCGTCATCCTCTACAAGAAAGGTCTGATGCAATTTTCCCGTATGTCCAACGGTTTGGGAGTTATTGGCGAAAAACGAAAATTTGGAAGAAATTGAAGGGGTACCCNAAATCTCGGAAAAATCGAAAATTTTTTTTTATTATTTATTATTAGCAAAGTTCTTCCGACATCTGATTTCTTTTTAAAAAATGCGTTTCTAAAGTGCATAAACTTTTGGGATTGACTGTTTAGCCAATACATCCTTAAAAAGAGGTAGGATTGGAGAGGCACCCGTCGATGAAAAACCGATGCCGCTTTCTCGGCGGCGAGATTTGCGAATATTTGTCCGGCGATTTGGCGAAGAAACTAGAGATCTTTCGCGTCCCCTTCTCCTTCTCCGTCTCTTCGTCCCAATCGACGGACAACGCTCTTTTCTCTAAAACAATTTCAGCGGTAGACCAACTGAACCTGACGACGGTCGGAAAGCCGAACACGGGATCCACGTTCTCCAGAAGCCACTGCTTGGTCACCGGGTCGGTGGGATAACCGCTCCCGAAATTATTCGATATCGATCCCTCGCGGAACTGCCAGGCTCTTATGGCGTGATCGCGGGACACCTTCGCACAGATACTAGCCGCGCTGACGATGGGATACGTCGAATCGGCCTTCTTCTCCACTTTGATCTTTATACCCGGGAAAATGTTCTCCAGCATCGACTGATATTTCTCGGGTTTACCCACCGTGTCCACGTAGATCTCGGCTATTCTCGCTCCGCTCTCGATCACTTTCTGCGCCAGGTTGATCGCGGAATTCATCGACACCTGGTTCAGCGACGTCTTCGCGCGCCGATACATGCTGTTCGAGATCGTGTTCGGAGATATCGCGTCCACGGCCCAACCGATCTTCTCGCGTTCCTTGCACACTTTATCGAAGATCTCGTCCCTCTTTTGTTCGGTCAAACTTTTCGAATCGGCGCAACCGATGTCGACGAGAATCTGCTTCTCGGACAAAGGCGCGTACGACACTCCGTAGACCATGGGCCCGAGAACTGGCCCACGGCCAGCTTCGTCGATGCCCAGCTGACACGGTTCCCTTTTGCATACTTCGGGTACCTGAACAACGTGAATAGTTGAACGCGCGTTAATGCACGGCATGTTCGTTCGTTCGAAATATCGAACGTCGATCTATATTACAGCTACGGTACGGCATCGTTACGCGTCGAAGAAAACGAAAATGCCTTGTTTGCCCGAGCTGTCCAGCAATAAATTCTGACATACCTCTGACAAATAAACCTTGTCAACGCTGTGATCCCAGGCTTCGAAGTACGGTGTCAAGTCGTCTTTGCAGTTAATTCTAGCCACTTCTCCGTCGTAGTTAACAGTCGTTTTTGCAGATTCCGTTTCGTTAACCTCATCCATCTCCGCGTTGCGTTTTCGCGGTTCTTTCCAACCTATCGTCAACTCCGACCGCGACCACGACGTAATTCAAACTGATTCAAACTGCGAACTACGATCCGCCGAGGTTCGTTCGCTGGTAACGGCGGGCTGACGCGATCGACGCGACTCTGCATGTCCGATGGACGGTATTAATACACGTTTTCACGGGCCGGAACGGTTGCATTCATGAGAAGGCATCTTAAAGAGCGGAACGCGTAGATAAATAAAATGGCCGTTCGACCGTTCTTTTCGGTACGGTCCACTGTGGGTACGGTGTTCGAAGGAAATTGAATCGCGAAACGTGGTATCTCGAGAATCGTCGTCCAAGTCGGGAGAGCGAGAAATTATGGGTGAACGTATGTGAACGTCGACGGGGCTCGATTCGAATCGAAGGCTTGCAACAACGTTCCTAATTCGTGATTCGTGGTGGTCGATTCTTCGTCGCCACTCGCGACAGTGTCTTGTTTCGCTGTTTCGCTGTTGAACACGGCCGATGCGCTACGATGCTGTCTAGGCCCTCGTAGATCTCGACACGAAAAAGCGTTCGCAGCAGTTTCGATCATTCCGACAGGCGTTCACCGTCCCATTTGTTAAAGGATAGAACGTTCGGAGAGGAAGAACAGAAGTTGGAACGAACGTTGGATCTCGTTCCGTGTCGTTTCGCATCGAAGCAAAGACGAAGACGACGAAAACGATCGTGGTTCGACTCGAGGACGAGCGACTCGGGAAGAGGGAAAGTAACAATAGTGTGAGGTAGAGTCGGTGAGAGGATGGCATCGTCGATGGTGGCCGTTCCCTCGGGAACGGCGTCTGTCCAAGGCGGTGGTACCGGCGGTGGTATCGGTCAGAACGAAGAAACGGAGAACGGCGATGTGTTCGGCGAGAGAAACATGAATTCGGTGACTGGTTGCAACGAAACTTCGAGCCCCGGGGACGCACTAGAGGAGCTGAACTGTGGTACGGGCGAGACCGGTGATCAGGAATGCGCCATTTGCCAAAGCAAACTTTGTTCTCCGAGAGTGCTCTCTTGTCTTCACGTGTTTTGCGAGGCTTGTTTGGACAAGCTTCTGATGGACGAGGCGGGCGACTCCAAAGTCAGCTCCGTCCTCGTCTGTCCTCTCTGTCAACAAGAAACTTCCATTAGTTCTAAGGGTGCCTCGTCGCTGACGTGCGACTACGTTTTGACCAACATACTGGACATGTCCGCGATCGAGAATATGGCTGTTCTCTGTACCTCCTGTAAAGCCAAAGAAAGTGCCGTAGCGCGCTGTTCGGACTGTGCCAACTTCTTGTGTCCGAACTGTAACACAGCGCATCAGTTCATGAGATGTTTCGAGAGCCACAAGGTTGTGGCCTTCGAAGACTTGAAGCAATCCAACGAAGCTATACCGATACACAAACCTATTTTTTGCGAATATCATCCTGCTGAGAACATGAAGTTTTATTGCTACACTTGCCAGGTAATTATCATAGTTTCCTTCCAGTGTTCGGTCGATCCTTTTCCCAAGCTATCTCCCCGTGTTCTCATCGTTTCAATTTCTCTGTCGTTTCGCTCAGGAACCTATATGCAACGAGTGTCTGCTCGTCGAACACAAAGCCCCGGACCATCAGTACGAGAGAATAATAGACGCGGAACCACGCCAAAAAGAGGAATTGATCAAGTTGATGAAGGAGAGTAAAGCGAGGATCGCGGACTGCGATCAAGTCTCCGCGCAATTGGACAATGCGCTCAGCGAGCTTCAAGCGCAACACGATCAAGCCAAGGATCTGATAGTGGAGACGTTTCAAAGTTACAAAGCCGTGCTAGAAAAATGTCGGGACAACGCCTTGATGGAGCTCGAAAAGTTACATTCGAACAGGGAACTGGAGATAATGGACACGTTTCATAGGTCGGTAACGTACACTTGGATTGGCCTGTTCGCGTGTATGTGTCGATCGTCAGTTTCAAATCGATCGTTTCGGTGTAGCGTCGAGAAGACCATGGAGAAGATCGAGGATGCGTGTCGGTTCACCTCCAGACTCCTCGAGCACGGTGACGCCGTGGAGATTCTCGCGCTTCGTCGCATAGTTGGAACGCAGTTGTTGAACTTGATAAAGAACACGCCGAAGCCGAACGTCACATTCTCCATACAATTCCAAACGGACTACGATCAGTTCGAGAAAACAGTGAAGGTGAGTCTTATCACGCGTTTACACGTGCGTGGCCACACCGTTCGGAATTGACGAACGTGCACCAAATGTGTGTCGCAGGAAGTGTTCGGGAAATTTCACACGGAGAGCACGCCACCGAGGAAGCCCACTCCCGAACCAATCGCGACGATGCCGTCGACAGCGGCAGCAGTAGGGGTTTCCAACAACCAGCAGGTCGTTCACGCATCGATGGGGAGTTGCCCGCGTTCCATCAGCACGAGATCCCCCATTTCTCTTCCCACCTCGATGCAATCTTCCTTCGAAGGTGAACCCCCGTTCGTTATACCTCCAACGTCTAGTCCACAAAATATTCCACCGCCGCCCCCTCCCGTCTCCCTCCCGCCAGGTCCCATCCACGGGCTCACCAGTATTCAGGAGTACAATCTGCAGCAGTTGGCCAGTTTGGCAGAGAAGGTCGACATGGACGCGAACGTGGTCGGGCCTAGTTCGAATCCCAGTCCGACACCGCCGTTCACGCTGGCGGATCTGTTTGCCGGCGATCTAAGCTCGACCAGTCACGCGATCAATAATTTACAAGCCCTCGCGAAATTGGGAAACACGCTTGGTAATCAAGGTACGTGCGACGCGCCGAACCACCACCGGGTTCGTTGGAACCCGGACGGAACGACGTACGACGTAAGTCGTCGTAACGATCTCGTCTCCCGTTCAGATCTTGGAAACAGCAGCATCAACGGTGGCAGCGGTCTGGTGCTGGGCAGAGGTCCTTCGCCGGCCATCGTCGATTCACCGAACTTGAGTCTAGCCGCCAACAGTTTGTTGAACGGGGGATTTCAGTCGTTGTCCTCGTCCACCTCGCCGATACTCTCGCAGGGTGCTGGTGGTGAGTACACACGTGTACGCGCTCGAGTCAAACACCGACAGACGAAAACGATCGATCGATCGTCGGTTCGATTGGTTGCAGACGATTTAAGAGGAGATTCCATGCATAACATGCCCGTAGTGGTAGGGAACACCGTTGGGAGCGTGGCCGGTTCCGGATCCGGCAATTACGCTCATCCGCGTTCGAACAACGCCAAGTTGACTCCTATGCACATCAGGTGTAAATTTGGCCAGTTAGGTCCGAGCAAAGGTCAATTCAGTTCTCCCCACGGATTCTGTTTGAGCGCCGACGAGGACATAATCGTTGCCGATACGAATAATCACAGGATACAGGTATCGTTTTCGTTCGTGATCTGTTCCGATCACGTCCCTTACGTTTCATCGTCGTGATCGTCTCCTTTTTTTCTCAGATATTCGATAAGACTGGTGTTTTCAAATTCCAATTCGGTGTTCCTGGCAAGGAGGAAGGACAACTGTGGTATCCTAGGAAGGTCGCGGTGATGAGGAACAGCGGTAAATTCGTGGTATGCGATCGAGGAAACGAGCGTTCCAGGATGCAGATATTCACCAAGAGCGGTCACTTTATCAAGAAAATAGCGATTCGTTACATCGATATCGTAGCAGGCCTAGCCGTGACCAGCGAGGGCCACATTTTGGCCGTCGACAGCGTGTCACCGACGGTGTTCGTGATCAGCGACACGGGGGACTTGTTGCGATGGTTCGATTGCAGCGAATACATGAGGGAACCGAGCGACATCGCGATCAGTGGTAAACTTCTCGTTCCCCTCTCCTCCTCCTGAACTCCCGTGACCGTGAATCGCGCGATAGAAACCTTTCTGTTCGCTTTGTTCGCAGGTAAAGAATACTTCGTTTGCGACTTCAAGGGACATTGCGTGGTAGTATTCAACGAGGAGGGCAAGTTCGTGCGTCGCATCGGCTGTGACAATGTAACCAACTTCCCGAACGGGATCGATATCAGCGACGCGGGAGATATATTAATAGGAGACTCGCACGGCAATCGTTTTCACGTGGCTGTTTTCTCGAGGGACGGTTCCTTGATATCCGAATTCGAATGTCCGTACGTCAAGGTAAATAATTCTCCCTACACTCTCGACCATATTTTCTCTGTCTATCTGCATCTATCTATGTTTCTGATCGACGATCGATCGACGTCGCGTTTCGCAGGTTTCTCGATGTTGCGGCCTGAAAATAACCTCGGAGGGATATATCGTCACTTTGGCTAAAAATAATCACCACGTCCTCGTGTTGAACACTCTTTACATATCATGAAGCGAGGAAGCAGACCAAGCAAGTATGCCGTAACTTTCTTCGGCGAGCGAAACTTTTTCGGTGGGTGTCGTCGCCGCCACCGCTCTCACTCTCGGCCAAAGACGAACAGACCGAACTAGAGAGAAAAGAAGAAAGATAATAAATAATAATGAATCTGCCCGTGGCATCGAGTCCTTTGAGATTTGGGCCTACCGAAGCAATAGAATTACACGAACGTCTGCAGCATGCAGCAGCTTTAATAGTCTACAAAAAAAGGGAAAACAAAAAAAAAAAGAAAAAAACGCGATAAAGGAAAATCGAGTATAAATGTGTCGTCCCTGTTCTATGAAAGTAACAACCGTTTGAAAGAAGAAACGAGCAAACGAGAAACAAATAAAAAAAAGTGGTAAACGTACGTCTCCGACCAAAAAACAGTATAAATAGTAAGTTTAGCGAAGTTGCATTTGGTAAACTGCCAAGAGAAATTAACGCGAGGGCGAGGGTGGCGAGACACGAACGCTTGGACTCGGTGAACTCGGAGAGAGACAGAGAGAGACAGAGAGAGAGAGCGAAGGAATACGGAAGGAACACGGAACGGTTATTCGTTTCGATCGCGGCGGAAGTGCGGCGGAGTTAGCAGTGAACGTTCGACGAACGAAGAGCGACGAGGAACGATGTTGCAGCAGAGAGAGAAGACGCGTGTTTTCCGTCACAATCGATAGCATCATCTTCGACTTCGTCAGTATTTTAGGTATGTTTACAAATCAAATTATTCTAGTCTCTAACTAGCACTGTTTTACACGCTGATTTTTCAATCCCGTGCTCGAAGCAACGTGTAACGTGTTTCTAACACCCGGTTTCACCGTGGTATCGAAAAACGGTACGCTTAACTGTGCGCGAGCTCGCGCGCGCGCGCGCGCGTATAAGATTGGGAAGGGGAAAAAAGAAATGAAAATGAATAAGTACGACTACAAGAATCTTTCTTCCGTACGTTACTTCGAGACCTATTCATATAGATAGATACGCTAAGTTCATAAGGTTTCTTTAAGAATCGTAGTTAGGTAATCCGATAAGCACCGGACGACGATCGAGAGTCATGATTATTATTTATTATTATTCTTATTATTATTATTATTATTATTATTATTATTATTGTTAGAGGAACGGGAGGGTAATAGGTACGTTACGTGACTTGAAACTACGATACAAATTCCTGTGCTCAACGCGACGGGAAAATGCAGCGTCGCACGCTCCGACGCGTGCTAGTACTTCCTGCTCTTATCGTAACATATCTCTATTCGAAAGATCAAGTAAAGGAAGACGAACGAAAATCAATCTGTACGCGCTCGGTGGTGAACGCGAAGTTTCAAACGAAAAGTCTTGCAAGAGAAGAGAACGCGCGGGTAAAGGGGAGGAGAATATTTCGAATTATGTTCCTGGTGATTCTTCTCCGTATCGTATTCCACGATTCGACGATTAGCGTTTCGGAATGGTTAGCGAACGAGAGGAATTTTATGAGACAACGTTAACGCGGATAGATGTACTATAATAGAATTACGACACGTTGAAAATCAAACAATTTAACAGCTTGCGAAGCGTTTAACGAATCGTACACCATGCTCATACGTATTGTTATAACCGAAGAAGAAAAAGATCGAAAACTATTATCGTAATAGATTCCGCTACTGGTACGCGAAAGTCTGTCTCGTGCATCGTGAAACAGAAACGAAAGAAACACGATAATAATAGGCCGAGACACTGGTAATGATCACAATATTTACTCAGGATGATTTATCATGGTCCACCATACGAATACAATACGATATTAATATATATCTATATATGCGTGTGTGAATTATTGGTTCGTGGTGCTAGCGAATAATAACAATAATAATAATGATGATGATGATGATGATGATGATGATGATGATGATGATAAGCACGACGACGACGATGACGACGACGATGACAATGACGATGACGATGACGATGAATATATCTTACCACGCGAACGTATTTGTTACAAAAATTACAGAGTCGTTCCGACCGTTTTACAATGTCTTACGGAACGATCGTGTAACATATTATACACTTGATTCTTGAGTCGCTAAAAGAAAATTATATATGTATACCACCGGTATTATAGAAATGATATCTTTATCTACATATATGTATAAAGAGGCAGAAAGGAAAAAACGACGTAAGGTTTGCTAAGCAACTTCTATTTATGTATATAATTAAAACACGATCCGTAACAGAGATGAAAATCCACTGTGTGTGTGTATATATATATATATATATATATATATATTTCTACGAACAGCTTCGAAGAATTTGTTTCTCGTGTACAAAACGAATCTATTTACGGTAGAAAACGGCTATTCGATGGAATATAGAGTTAAGGGAACCTATTCGATGGGTTTTACAATTAGTAGTGGTGGAGATACAGAGAGGAAAAAGCGAGAGAGCTAGTACTCGGATGGAAGGGACGAAACGAAAAAGATATTTGCGCATAACATTCGTAGTAAATTGCACGAAGCCTACGTACGTACACCTAAGCTAAACAGTCGTAATCGTCTTTTATTATTAGAAGTTTTAATTTTATATGTATCGAAAGAAGAAAAAAAGATAATATGTAATTCTGAAGTATTTAAATAGTCATGGTTTAGCAGAGTTATATAAATAATGCCTGTGATAATAGTATCGTCAGGATAAGTTGTGTCCTTACAGAGTCTCTGATGTTGTTGCTAGGTAAATATTAATTAGTGGTACCAAAATGATATGAGATGCTGTTAGCGAGACGCCTCGTGTGAAGGCATATTTCTGTTTTATGCACAATAACGCCGGGCGCAATGCCATCGATAGTGGTCTCTTTAAAAAGGTTTACACGATACCCGTACGGTACGCCGAACAACGCGAAAGGCAGCAGCGGGTTTTGGGGGGTGACGACGACGATGGGAGGATGATGCGTCGCGAAAAGCTTTTCCGCTCGTGTTCAACGGGGATTGGGGGCGTTTTGTTCTGAGGAGAGTAAAGAACGGAAGATGAAAACTCATAGCGTAAAACGTAGGTACGCGAATGACCATTGCTGACGAGGGTCTTTTACCTCACAAAATTATTATATTACGCTCACCTTATATATACTTGAATATTTTAGTATAGATTTACTCTATTTACATATTTTTATCTGTGGAAGACTACTTGGCTGATTTAGGCCACTGTTGAAATTCACCCCTTATTTGCCTTGATGTTTAAATTACAATAATAATATAAAAGAGGAAAATGAAACGAGGATTACAATTGTTACGTAAATGGTAATTGTGATAGATTTTTTGATGATTTTTACAATCTCAAAAGTCTTATTATCCTAATATGTATACATAGAATTATAATAGTCACTCTCTACGTAAAAATTTAAAGAAAAAAAAATATGATGATGATGATGATGATGATGATGATGATGATAAGCACGACGACGACGATGACGACGACGATGACAATGACGATGACGATGACGATGAATATATCTTACCACGCGAACGTATTTGTTACAAAAATTACAGAGTCGTTCCGACCGTTTTACAATGTCTTACGGAACGATCGTGTAACATATTATACACTTGATTCTTGAGTCGCTAAAAGAAAATTATATATGTATACCACCGGTATTATAGAAATGATATCTTTATCTACATATATGTATAAAGAGGCAGAAAGGAAAAAACGACGTAAGGTTTGCTAAGCAACTTCTATTTATGTATATAATTAAAACACGATCCGTAACAGAGATGAAAATCCACGTAAAACACGTATATATATATATATATATATATATACACATACATACACATATATATACACACATATATATATATATATATAGAAATACACATATTTTTAGGGTTGTTTACATGATCAGCCTTAAGATTTAATCTACGAGGACTATGAGACAAAAATGAACGCGATTCGCGTACCGTTGTGCGTGTATATACATATATGTGAGTATACGTACATATAATATGTGCACGTATACACGCGCGCCCGCACGGATACACCGCGCAAATCGCTATATACTGTGTTACGATTACAACATACCTACGATAACGATTGAACGTGAATTACTATCTTGCCATACCAAATGTTAGAAAGCACATCCATACGATATA